TTAGAAAAATATATAACGAAAAAATATGTGTAACTAAAAACAAATGTGAGAATAGCCAAATACTATTTCCGCTAATAAAACGTGAAAGTAAAAATAATCCGCTCAGCCATATAACGGTCAAATCTAGCAGACTTGTAAGTCGGCAGATAAAAATAAATTATTCCTAGGGGACTAAAGGGCCGGACTAAATGATTTCAACCAGTACCATTTGAAAGTACACCTGAGCCACTTTTGAACTAGCCAAGGGACCGTCTTAATAGAGAATGGGAAGCTACTAACTGTTGATACAGAACTTGAAACGAACTTAAATTATTACAGCAAGCAGGGAGAAGATTTTCTCTTTATCTTTCGTGCTCTAAAATTTATTTCCATTTAATATATCTATTTATAAAATGTCTTTGTCCGCACGGTTTTCATTCATCATGACAAAGAAACAAATGGAATGTGATTAGTTTCTTTGCCTTACTGATGTTTCATTTCATATTTTCTTAGTTCCATTGCAATTTGTATTTAGCTGGAGGTAAATTAAACTGGCAGAAGATTCCCTCGAGCACCAGACGTTTTGATCTAATTTGTGCTAAAAAAACTCTCGCTTTGAAACCTTAACGGCAGGTGATTCTGTGGAATAAATAAAGTTTTATGAGGCATGCCCTAATAAGTATTGTCTTTTAGATGCAAATGATATATGCAATTATTTGTATCAATTATAATCTAAAGCAGGATTTTATACATTTTTACTTTTACGAATTCATGTTTTTGATAACACGATAGCGCCGGCTAATTATTCAGGAAGACAATTTTCATAAAAATGTCTGATTATGCGGACCCTTGGATTTTTTGTTGGAAAATATTTTTGTAGCTTATTTACATTTTACGACGAGACGAGATCGTGAGATGAAGATCTTTAAAAATTTTTGACTAAAGTATTTTTTCTGTCAAACCTAGATTTTAGTACATAAACTTGAAATGAAATTGTTGTTTTTAAAATGACTTAAAATAACTCGTATGTTCATTAAAACTTGTTCATTTCCATAGTAAAAATATAGTAAACGGTCGATTGCATATTATAGTAGATATATCATTCTACATATATTTGCAATTTCACTTGATTCTGTGTGGTCTATTTATATAAAATTTAAAATCTATTATTATTAGACTTAATATCCAGGCTTAACTTAGTCACCTAATATCCAGGCGTTTTGTCACTTATGTCTCAATAAAATTGAAATTAAATCAAGTAAAGTAATCAGATATTCATAAAAAAGCTTTTTAGAAACGTGGGTAGTTTTCAAATGAATCCTTTACTTTGGAAGGTTTTATTTAAATTGACTGTTAATGATTATTAAATCCTTTAAAACATTTATAAAATGTAATCACTTCGTTACAGAAATAGATAAAACACGCTTTATGTTTCTCTCATCAGACTAAAAGCTTTATTATAATCGCTGGAAAGATTGAAAAACCGCTAATTTCAAAATATTTATATGAAATAAGTAATACGATTCACCTCTCTGAAAATTCGTGAACCATAAAACGATACTTTCAATTACTTGACACTTAATAAATTAATTCCATAGCATTGGCTTCTCTTTCATGTTTTGTTTTTAATGTGAAAACGGCATCCACTTAATACGAGTGTTCGGAAGAGCTCATCGACTGTACAGATATTTAATGAAACACCGCCTTTCGGATATGATACTGTTTAAAATAATTCCTTATATAGAAATATAATTATTTCATATACATATATACCCAATTTAATAGTTTTTGTTGCTAAGGTTTTGGAGAGATCATAAAAATAATATCTTTAAAATTCTTTATATCTAGCTATTATATAAAATATTATTAAGACCTTATTCATAGTAAAAGAACTTAAAGTATACTATATTTACTTTATCCGAAATTATATGTTATTTAAAGTGACGAGATCAATTTTATTCATATATTTATAGGATCATATGGAATACAAAATAATTATCAAAATTAATCCCCGAACGTACATATAAAATTATTAAGTGTAAAATTAAAATATCGGTCTGTCAAAAGTTATATGATCACAAATATATTGAAATCAATTGTTAAAAATTGTTCAATTACACTGGAGGTATCATTAACTTGTCATCAATTACGTGCTATGGATACAATCGTGAGGTCATTGACGGCATTCATGTCAAGTGATAGACGTTTGATTCTTGTCCCGTTTATAATTGAAGTATCTTTCAATTAAATTAAATTATTTGATTAATTCCAGTATTAATACAACGTGATTTATAATTCCGAGGGAAATGAATCTTATTTGTCTGTTTCATCTTCTGAATTAAAATTTTGACTTGTTATATACAATTTTAGGTAAATTGATATGAATGTTTCTATTTTAAATGTCTTTAGATAACGATTTTAGACTTTTAATCTATTATGTAGAATTATTATTGACTCTCAATGGAAAGTCTTTATTTCAGAAAATTAAACCTGATTTCAAAACTTCTTACTGTTTTAAACAAATATATTGGAGTTAAATTTCAAGCTATATAGTTCATATGAAATAGTTTAAATGAATTAAATAAGTTCTTTTATATTTCTAAATTATTACCCTTTTCTATTTTATCAGTGCTATAAAGAACATCTAGCGCTTGCAGCATTCAAAGCCCTGACTGAGGCTCCATAAAAGCTCTTATCTCAGGAAATACTCTAGATGGAATCTAAGTAATTCTTCAATATTTTCTACGGATATCTTTTATCAGAGAATAATAACTATTTTAGAATTTCTATAAAGAAGTTTTTAAATCTGAGATGAAATTTATCAATTTTGTACATAAGTTTAAACTAGATTTTATCGTGAAACTTATTGGCTTAATCCTAAAAATTAATTTGAACTGTAATGTTTTATTTTATTAACGAAAAGAACAATGATAATTAATTGAAGTAAGTAATGGCAAGCTTATAATTAATATAAACACCGCATTTTACTACAAAAATATACTGCAATACATTCAAAAAAAATTAGTAAAGAAAGTCGTTAAATCTGAAGCAACAGTACCGTTTGGCTGGTTCGCTTTAATCTTTAAAAATACATGAATTCGTTCAGCATCGCGGGTACATTTAACGGACCATCTGAGCCCACTACTGTAATGTCTGATCTTGTTTTACGGACTCAGTTTCCAGAGTATTTCTATTATTTGAAAGACCTTATTCTGACTTACTTTATTAGGGTACTTAGTCTTGTTTAGAATAAAAGGAAATGGGACTGAAATAAAAATAGACATATTATTTATTCAAGAACTTTCTCAATACGTAAACATTCTTCTATTATTCGACAGTCCACACTCAATCAACATTAGCTCTATAAATAGAAGTACCGAATCGTAAATTATCAGCAATGGGTTACCGAGGAGTAAGGTGACACATAAATCCTACTGACGCATATAGCGGCTGCTACTGACATTGTTTCCAAGATATAGAGAAGCTAGAAGTACTATTACACTTACAAAAACTTTTTTTTCATACCTAAATTCAATGAATAACAAACAGAGGTAACGCTTAGATAAGTAATAATAAGTATATTTGAATTAAAATTTAAATAAACAACATATGTATGTATTGAGCAGTCACTTATTGATTTAACATGTTCTGAGAAAAAATTGTAAAAAAATTCATATAACTCAAACTTTATATGGAGAGAGTTATTTCTTGTTAATAAGATTTAAGCAATGAAAAACTTAATTGTGATAATTCACATACAAACATTGATAACCATCGCTCTTTATTACGAACGGAGGTTCGAAGTATTCAAACATATCATTATTTTCTGTTATGGGAATTTAACTTCCAGTAAGGCTTTATATCAACAATATTGGCACTAAGAAAGCACGGTGTGGATAAACAGCTAATTCCATTACGAGAATAGCTCGGCACGGGGTGGCAGTGGCTCGTGGACAGCCTTATTGGCCTTCTGAGATTACTTACCCCTTAAGGTCATGACGGTGCTTAGCTTACGAGTACATTTCTAATAAGACTTACTCAGAAAACTTTTGTACACGATGTTTACATTCAACTTGAAAGCGACTGTTTATGATCAAACATTTTAATGTGATAAAATCTTTTGCAATGTATAAATAATATTTTTCTTTCAATTTACAAAAGAAAGTTCTGGAAAGTTTTAACATAAGTTAACCAACTGGAAGGCAATTTCAGATGTTAGCCAACCAGTCCATATAGCCAAGAGTTTCGCTCATAAAGCTTATTAAGTATTGTTCCCTGGAGTGTCGTTATTTGTTTCAGGAAAACAAACTGCTTCATTTTGTAACATATGAATGTTTAATCTAAATTTGCATCTGGACCAAGACTTTTAGGTGAGGGATCTGGATGATAAATATTTTAATCTTGTTGATTAAATACTTAAGTTATTTCAGTGAAAGCAACTCGAGGATATAAAATATTATGTCGCGAAATTTTAAAACAGGTGGGCAGAAGAAGTGGGCGAGCCTATCAATGTTTGAGGAAAATTTTAATACACGTCAATATTTTTCATTACTATGAGAATAAAAATAACTTTGAATTTTGATTTCTCTTGAGAGTATTTTTAGGAACCGTGACCACAATCTTTAAAATAAAACAGCCTTAAAAGATGTAAAAATTGTCTGTAAATTTAACACAAATATTAAATTTTTCCTTATACATTCTAAGTAGAAGATATTTTTAGACTTACCTGCATCATTTTGCTAATTTAAATGTATTAAAATATTATTATTAAGATCAATTCTTATTTACCATGTAAAAATGAAATTGCGAACTTATAGTACACGCTATAACAAACTACAATTCATGATAAAAAGAAACGTAAAAGTTACTAATATTTTTGTGACATGAAATTATTTCTACCACATCCTCTATCTGTCATAATATGACATAAGTCAGTATTAGTTATTCTTATTTTATGTCATGATGTTTTTACATTTTTATTTACTTGGTAAAATACCATTTTGATATATATTTTATAAATTATGATGGAAAATGAAGAGTTAAAATTAGGAACTGAGTTGAATGGTAAAAAATGTGACCTAACGGAAGAAAAAGATGGTCACGCAAGTGGCTCATCAAATTTTCTAGATAAGACTGCTCACAATATCGACAATTTGAAATCTATTGATTTCAATTCAGCTGACGAAGTGAGGTAAGTATTATGAAAAGATTAAACGTTATATATATATGTATATAGGTTGGTTTATTTCACTTTTCTTCTAATTGTAGACAAAAAATGAAACAAATTTTCGGACAAGGATTAAAGTTTGACGATACAGCTGATGACATAATTAATGTAAGAAATGCTGGAGATCACGAAACAGAGAAAAACATATTACAAAAACATTTAATGACGAAGGATAAAGAAACGGATAATCCAAAACGGGATGAAGATCACAAGACCTTAGATTCAAATTGTTTGCGCTGTTCATCAAAAAATCATATTGGAACGTCTAGAAAGAGGCCAGGAAGACCACCTAAAGCTGGTCCCTCAAGAAAACTAAAGAAACAAAGCGTATCGTCTATGTATTTGGGAAAATTAACCAACGTTGTGTTCCTAAAACGTTTCGGATCGAGCAATGTTTCTGATATAGAGTCGTTAGATCTCTTATAAATTTTTCACAACTTCGAATGTTTATTAAAAATATATTATGAAAACTATTGCTAGCAGATTTATTTAAACGAATAAACGCGGTATAAATTTTATTAAATTATAGAAACAGTTTCTCGTAACCTAGATTCGTTTAGTGGAGTAAGAATCGGTTAAGTTGTATCGTGCGATGCCGTATTTCAGCAATCTCTTAGCGGATCGTATCATATCGGAAATTGAATTTCCGATTGGCTCTCAAGCACAGTCTGTCTGTAATGGATGGCTCGCGATCTTTGTTTCACTAACTTCACGGGAATGATAGATAGAAATGAAAGTTTACTTCGATATTATTAATATTTTATTTAAACTACTTGGGATTTATGCTATATTTCTATTTGATAATTTTTCTTTCGAGTTTTATTATATATTGTTGAATTATTTAAATTTTCATGGAATATAATTTTCTGAATTCTAATGTTTGTAGCAAAATGTTCGCCAATGAATAATTTTAAAATCAAATTTCCTGACTAGAGCTTAGCAAGTACCTAGAATATTAAGCCCATTTATATTCAGCTATTATACATATTTACATAATACTGAGGCACTGCCTGGATTCAAGGCTTTTAATAATAGAACAACGAATTCAGAAATCAGTACTTTGGGTATTAGTTTGCTCTTTTATTGCTGAATTATTTACGATAAACGGTAAAGATTTCTCGTTGTCTCTAGAGAGACATTATGCATAAATAAATTGATACGATCGTAATGTATTCGTAAAGACATCTTTATTCTAAATACAACATGGTAACGCAACCAAAATGAAGGATTTGGGAATAATGCATTACGGTAATCCGTATCTAAAGGGTTTATTAAGATGGAAAGGATTGTAACCCATTTATATGAAAACTTAGTTTGTTTCGTAAATAACCTCTATAAGACTCGACTGTTAATGCAGTATGCGGTCTGAATGCACGTGATTCTGCTCTTGAAAGTTTAGTTTACGAATTTTAAAACAAACCTGCAACAAAGACACAATTTTTACTCGTTTTAAGCTAAAAAACTAATCTGAGTCAGCTGTCTCAGACGGACGTAGCAGTGTACGATATGAAAGAATTTCATTTTTGCTGCAGTTGAAAGGTTGCTTTTCAAAAATTTTTGTCCAATTTACTCTCGTTGTAAAGGTAGAAACTCTTGTTTATACTAAAAGAAACATTTTCGCAACAAGGTCGTATCAGAAAAATTCTTTTACTGCAGTTGGTAACATTAAATAAATGTTTGTTAGAATAAAACTATAAAGTTATGTTTTTTACTTTAAAAACTTCTCACCATTTTAACCAGAGATCACTATTTTAACAATTAACTTTGGAATAGGAAACATAGATGTTTCCATTTTGGATGCTATTCCATTGTCCAGCGAGTCTAATAATGAGCTATGGGCCCTTCACCCCAAAACTTGTACGAGTTAAATTACACTATAGGATCGCCATATGAATGGACAATGCATGTTAATTAGAGGTTTTGATTAGCTAAATGGTGATTGGGCCACCTTCGTTAGCCCTTCGTAACTTCGAACATGTTTCATAAACACGATATTTAATGTAAATTTACATTTTCCTGAACATTTTTTTTAATCCATTAGCAAAACCGGCCGTTATATTAACTAGTACCTCTGCTTTTTTTATTATTTTTAAGTGTATTATTTGAAAATTTTTATAGATATATTAAAATGTCACAGTACGACAGCGATATTTAAGATGAAGTATCTTTCTTTACGTTTTTATATGGATCTTAAAATTGTTTTTAAGATTACTTAATGTAGTTTTTAGTTAATACTATTAATAAATTTTATATTTTATAGGAAAGATGTAAAAATGTAATCGTCATGACATGATAGCTTTATTGGTAAAACAAGACGGACGCGATATTCAGGAGATTACCGTTTCGAATCTTACTCATGACGATGGATTTTTCACTCTGTATTGTTTATATCTATTTTAATTCAAAGTCGCTCTTTAATGAATAATACTATGGAAAGTCAAGTCTCATATTTAAGAAAATAAATAATGAAGCGTTCTTAAAGAAAACATTTAATCGAGCATCGGTTGCAGTTGGGAATGAATGAGTAATTTACAGTATCTAGCTCAGTTCCTAATGAAATTCTGTCTAGTGCATAGATAACTTAACGTTTCAGAGTTTAGGTAGACTAAGTAGTTTTAACGGAACGGATGTGTGACATATCAACCTACATTAAGGCGAAGTGCACATTATCTTTTCTATACTGTCAAATGATCTTGACTATTTAGGTATTTAATTAAGTAAGACCATTATTTTACACTGTGATAGCATTAGACAATATTAAGCGATGCTTTGTAGACTTCCGAACAAATTTAATTAATAATGTAGTGTAAACATAGCTTTATATTACTTCGTGGTAAATCCATGTAATCCCGAGGAGACGAGCGTCTCAGTTAATAATGTATTAAATAATTAATTATCGTGCAGTTTCCTAGACGAACTTCCGAACTTGTAACCTTAAAGCTATCGTTTACCTTGCAACTTGTTTGGCTGTGCATTTAATTTAACTTGTGTTTTAAATTAAACTTACGTTTATTAATTTAGTTACACAAATGCCATAAACTGTTTCTATTACTAATATTCCATGCAACAGAAATTCAATGCTCCATTATACTCTAGTGAGTCGTAAAAATTTGTTCCATGTATCCAATCCAACAAATTATAATATAATGCTTAAAATGATTAACAAAACCAACAATTTCATTCAATACAACATCACCTTGTTTATAGCCCATTGGATATATCGGTATTAATATACGTCAATACTAAACAATGAAATAAAAATATCAAAACATTTCCACTGTGTTAAAAATGGTTTATAACGAAAGTACAGAGAGCGAGTTGCCGCCTAAAAAACCCTAATTTCCTGTACCCTTTCATTTATACCCGGGCAATCTGGAACCCTGTAGCTTATTTATAGGGGTCCTGCTCGTTTGATGGTCGGCTGTCAGAATGCGTAATGATAAAGGTTGTAAAAATACTACGCAGACATCAGGCGTTTGAGTGTTAGAGTAGTTCCATCGAAAATGGTTTGCAAAATAATTAACAGGTATAAAATTCCATACAATGAAAATATTAAATAGCAGTAGTATTATTATTTATAGATTTAACAATAATTATATTTAATCTGGTGTCTAGATACTCTTAGAAAGTACATATGACTCGGAAAAATCACATTGGTACTTGCCAGGATCGAACTCACGCCCTCGTACACGAGAGGCGGTCCTTTAACCACTACGCCACCACTGACTAACTAATTAAATTACCTTGATGTTGGCTAATAGCTTGTATTCAAATTTTGTATGTGTGTTAGGATTTAATCTGTCTTTTATTAAACCTATAAAGACTTTATTATTTTACATTTAACTTCAATGTCGCATAATTTAAGTCGCAAGTCTACTCCACCGCAGTCTCTAAGCGCACTACATCCTCATGTGTGACTTTACGACTGTTAGTTCGTCCGTCTATCTCAATGATATGTTATCATCGTTTCTATTTTTACCCACGACCTAATTCATGGTCCCCTTTATCCACGGTGTTTTATGACACTCGATTGCTACTTGGCTGGCGAGCTATGGGTGTTAAAGGTTGAACTTAGAATAAAATGACTTATGGCTCTTTCAGTGTACGTTTGGTTTTTTTATACAAAAAAATCTTGATTTAATGTATGAATGTCTATTGACAAATGCGATATAGTATAGTATTTGTTTTTTTTTCTTGTGATAGTCTGCATCCGCAACAAAAATCAGTGAATCTTTTTCAATTGATCGCTTTTAAATTTGTTTTGTTGCAGAATTTGTAATTTGTTAATTTAAATTCTCCTTGAATCCATTTGATAAACATCTTTTTCTCGAAGTAAATAAGAAAGCTAGCTTAAATTAGAATTAAAATGTACGAAATAAACCCAAACCTTTTTCAATAAATTTAAACAAATTTTCCTTGAGCAATAAATTGCAGGGTTATATAACCCTTACATTTTTCTCGTTAAACATTAAAATCTTTTTAAAAATCGGTTCGAATTCACTTAATCTCAACTCTTGGACGGTCGGTTTGAATTAAAAAAAAAACTTAATCAAGCTTATCTCGGATTCAAATGGAAGGACATTGTTAAAAATAAATGGTTTCGCGTTTTATTATTAAATCTATTGTTTGATATTCGAATTATGTTGTTTTTATTAATTTATTTTATCCACTCTCTATTGCCAATATGATAATAAATTGCGACTTAAGTTTAGATACCATTATGTATGACTAAATGGTCAGGACTTACAATACGAAAAATTTTTCTAATAACAAATTTATAACTGATTTTGTATGAAAATAAAGTTATAGGTTTAAATTGTAATTTTCATTGTGTTTGTTCAGGTTTATAAGTTATCTAATAATAATAGGATTTTTCCTTTTTCAATTTTTATTGTCTTTCCTTGTTTACTGTTTTGATGACGTACTAAGAGGGAATTGAAATGATAATAGCGTTCAAAATTTTCAACAAATACTAAAAGAATATTCGCAAAACATTTCGGTGAAATAAAAATTAACGATAGAAGAAATATGTAACAGACATTTCATACCATTTATATTTGTACATAAAATTGTCAAATAATAATTAATGATCAATAAGGTATAAATTTGCTTAGTTATAATTTATAGTTAAAATATATTTTATTGAATGATTATAAATGCGGAATGCAAGTGAAACTGAAATGTCACTTAAAGTAAGAAAAGAACATTTTATTAAAACACATTAAATAACCATATATTGTATTTCAAACTTTCTGGAAATATATTCGGACGAAGGGTTGTGAACATTTAATATAAAAATTTAACTACTTATCTTACAAGGGTTGGTTGAAAAACGCCTTTTATTTTTTGAAATATCTATAGATTATATGGATGGAAACAAATTCATTTGTTTAATTTTGTCATAGTCATAAAGTAATTCAATTGAT